GTATTAGCTTGCTCAAGTCACTTTACTTCTCTGAGGCTGTTTTCTCACCTGAAARATGGAGGTAAAGTACTGGCTTCATAGGATTGTATGAATGAAAAGCCTTTTTAGCGTAGCAGGCACTGGCATAGCAGGCCTCTCAAGGTGTTGAAGCAGTGTTGAGAATGTGGCATTTAATAAATGCATGTTGAAAGAATACATGATGGAAAAGTTCTTACATGTGTTCTTAACTGAACTCTTAAAAGGCAAGTGAATGGKTTTTACCTGTTTGGCTGGAAGGGATTAAATGCTTGTTCAACAGAGGCTCAGTTTGTAGTCCCCCTTGGGGAAAGGCCCTGTCTAGCCTATATATAGTCTTTGATATTTCTTGGCCTTTATTGGAGTTTGTGATATAGAATATGGCTGCATCTGGTGAATGAATTCTATATGATAGGGCAATGTGTATCACTGGGAAAGCAGAATTGCCAGCCAAATTGCACCCAGTGAAGTCCAGACATCTGCACTTGTGTAGAAAGTGGGTGCTTCCTTTGGAGAAACAGGCATTGAATTCAGACCTAGGAACATGAGTTTTGACCCGTTCTAAGTCACTTACATTTACTTTAACCTTGATAAGTTCACCTAATATCCCTTCCTTTGATTTTTCTCTATAGAAACAGAAAAGGCTGATCTCTCTAGCTTTGTTTGCCTGACTTATAAGTTTTTCTAGAAATCTTATAGCACACACCAGAGATTCTGGATTAGAGCAGGTTCACCCGAGTTTAAGATTGATTGATTCATTCATTCATTTATTAATTCATTCCTTCTTGTATGTGAAGTTCTTTATCCCTAGTATACTGCAAAATTGGGTATATTTTTTCAAATTGTTTACCTATTCTAATTTGATAGCCTGGGAATGTAATAAGGTAAACTTATTCTCTTCCAAAAATTCACTTTCTTACTGAAGATTTATTTGTAGGCAATGTCTATTGAGAGTTCCTGTTTGATAAATCTAGCCACATACATATTTGAGGTAGTGCATATCTGTTGCTTCACTCCTGCCCTCAAACCAGCTGATTAAGCAGAGGGTGCCATTTCCCTGTCATGGCCTTCACCTGAGTGAACCTTTGCTCCAATCCAAAACAAGGACAAAACAGTTCTATTTTCCATCATGGATAGGTATCCTTATGTAATGTCTAGCCTAGGGCCTCAGCTCTAAAATCAGTTTTTCCAAAGATGTCATTAGGAACAGAGGTCATTGTGGGCTACTTGCAGTGTTTCCCAAAGCTTAATAGTCACATTTATGTAAGACAAGGCCAAAGAGGTTATTATTCAATAAACACAGTGTATTTAATAGTAAAAATATCACCAGGCATGGTATTAGCAGGAGGAAATCATAAAGTCATATATTAAGACACTGGGGATCTGTTATCTGTTTTGAGGAAGTAGCACATGATGGAAGAAAGGCAATTGATCTATGAATGCTTTAGAAGTACCGTGAGAGGAGAGAAACTGACATTAACATGCTGAATTACCATATTGTTTCCTAACCTACCTCTAAATCTGCAGTCTTTACGACAGCCTTTATTTACCAATGAAACTAGAGAGGGCTTAACTAGTTTGTCCAAGAACATAGCACTTATGATGTCAGTATTTAAACCCGTATCATCAGATTCATGAACTCTGGCTTCTGTAATCATACATCAAAGCTGCTCCAATTTAGTGTATATTGGGTGGTGCAATGAGGTTTAACAGGGAAGAGAGTGTGTTCCCGTAAGATAGGAGCATAATGGAAAGAGAAGAGAAAAGGGACAGATGTGGGAAAAACTGACCAGGATTTCCATGTTCAGGATTTCTACTCTTTTCAAGCTGTGTCAAGTCCAGAATATTACTTATTCATTTTAAGCCCAAATTTCCCCCTCAAAAATGGATAGATCATAGTGGTGTTATGAAGATTAAAGGGTAATGGCTTATGCAAGTTGTGGCAGTCATCAAAGATGTGATGGCTTCCTGAAGGGGAACACTGAATTTTTATGCAGACTATCTGTATCCCAGTACCAGACCCTTTGCTCACTACACCATCTTCCTGAGCCTCTTGCTCTCCTTGCTTCATTTCTAAAATTATGCCACATAATCCACCTATCCTTAGTCATAAAAAAGGATTTCCACAGTGTGTCCTATTGATCTAGAGAGAGGCAATAGTGCCTGATGCTTAAAGGCATGGACTTTGAAGGGAGATTGCTTAGGATCAACTCTAGATTTGAACATACATGTTAATACTTGTTAAGTGCTAAGAACAGCATTGTATTTGCTGTATATGTTCATTACTAATAACTCTGAGCTATTGAGTAGGTGTTTCCCTAAAGTGTTTCCAATTATATAAAAAATTTAGCACTATACTCAGGATTCATTTTCAACATCCAAATTCCTTGGCTTTTTGTCGGGGAGGGTACTAGGGGTTGAACTCAGGGGAACTCGACCACTGAGCCATATCCCCAGCCCTCTTTTGTATTTTATTTAGAGACAGGGTCTCACTGAGTTGCTTAGCACCTCTCTTTTGCTGAGGCTGGCTTTGAATTCGCAAACCTCCTGCCTCAGCCTCCCAAGCCAATGGGATTACAGGTGTGGGCCACTGCACCTGGCACCTTGACTTTTTTATATTATCATTTTTTTATATTCTCATTGACTTCATATAACCTCTTTTCCCATAGTATCTATTTCAGAGTTAAATAGTATTAGCAGTAACAATGGCTATGTGCCAGACATTTTATTCATATAAGAATCATATTTAGGGGCTGGGGATGTGGCTCAAGTGGTAGCACGCTCACCTGGCTTGCGCAGGGCCCTGGGTTCGATCCTCAGCACCACATAAAAATAAAGATGTTGTGTCCACTGAAAACTAAAATAAATAAATAAATAAATAAATATTAAAAAAAATTCTCTGTCTCTCTCTAAAAAAAAAGAATCATATTTACTGAACATCTATTACATGCTAGGCACTGGAGTTTTAAGGGTAAGGTCACAGTCTATTATTAGTATAGAGAAAAAAATTTAAAAGTGGAGTATAACAGGTGCTGACTTTGATTAGGAGAATCTTAGATGAGGCATACTGACTTTTGGGTTTTCCACATAGAAAACCCTGGGAAATCAGCCTAACTTCATGTACCCAAGGAAGGCATATATGAGTAAATAAGTGAATGTTAGACTGAATGTTTAGTATGAGTTAAGTAGGAGAAGAGTGAAGAAAAGTGTTCCATACAAATACAGCAGAATGTTTGAGGACCTGAAAACCAAAATGAACACACACACACACACACACACACACAGGATTTTTAGTGATTGTAAACCACTTTCCCTAAGAGCCAAGTTTTATTTCCTTTATGAGTGTGATCTGAGGATTTTGAGGCACACTGTGTTAGTTTTTCATCACTGTGACAAAATTCCCTAAAAAGAACAACTTACCATAGAAGACGAAAAGTTTACTTTGGCTTAGGGTTTTCAGAGAATCAGTCCTTGGCCAGCCAGCTCCAAGGCTCTGGGCCTGAAGGGAGGCAGAACATCTTGGTGT